AAAAATTATAATAGTTTATTTTTACATCATTTTGTGCATTTTTTCATCTCAGCTGCAATCCCCTTGGGCTTCCCATCACCAAATCACCCTGTGCCATCACCATAACCCAGGGCATTTCCCTCCCCCCACTGTTCTTGATCCCATTCCCCACTCCACCCCACAAAATGTCTCTGGTATATGGCTGTTCATCATTATCATTATTTTCTCTCCCGGTCCATTATACTCCTGCTAGGAGAGAAACCATCCGGTATTTTTCCTTTTCTTTCTGGCTTATTTCAGTAAGCATGATTTTTTTCTAGCTCCATCCATGTTGCTGCAAAAGGCATGTGTTTCTTTTTTTGGTTGCTGAGTAATATTCCATTGTGTATATGTACCACATCTTTTTAATCCAGTCATCCATTTTTGGGCATTTGGGCTGTTTCCATGTCTTTCCAATTGTGAATAAAGCAGCAATAAACATGGGGGTGCAGGTATCTAAAAAAGACTATTTTTAAACAATTTTAAGTTCACAACAAAACTGGTGGAAGGTACAGAGATTTCACATATAGCCCAGCCCCCACATAGGCACAGTTCTCTCTACTGCCAAAATCATGCAGTAGAGTGAGACATTTATTACAATGTCTCCACTGACATATCACCTCATCCAAAGTCCATAGCTGTGGGTTTGAGTGTTGGGCATTGTGGAATGCGTTTCCATAGCCAACTGAGTCAGGACTTGTCCATGTTTGCCTGCTACCACATCCAGGCTCCTACAGATACATTAAGTAACCCAAAGACCAGGCCATAGTGTTAAGCATATGAAAAAAAGATTTGGCTAAGAGTAGTCATCTCCAAGTAACAGGAAGGTCTGCCCTGTTGCTTCTCAGGGAAATACTGAGGCCTGGCCTACAAGTGAAACTTGGGGAGATCTGAACTGAGGAGTTATCCTCAGGAGGAAGGACTAAATCTGAGTGTCACTGGGGCCCTCGGAGGGCAGTCCTGTGATTTCCCTTGACCTTCACTTTGATAAATGCAATTTGGTCCAGTTTTTACCGAGTGCCCACTCTGTGTTGCCTTGATCCTAGGCCTGCAGGGACTTAGGCCCGGTGGGCTTGGGCTTTGCTGTTACTTGCTGACTCTTCTCCCTGAAGGAGGTTTTCTCAGGCTGAGGGTCAGGCG